ACACCAGGGTGATCTGCAACTGTACCAGCACCTCTGCTATGTCTCACCTTGCAGAGACAATGTCCAAAGCACTAGACGCTGTTGTATGGTCTGCAGAGAGATACACGACTTTTTCCCCACCAGCCATTCTCCAAGTCACAGATATGGGGGTTCCAGAAGACCAGAACATAGCTATAGCATTACCAACAACACGCTACCTATGGATTTGGTCCCAGACGGCTCACTGCTTTAATCCTTTGAAGAAAAAATATCACAGTATGAGAAAGTGCAGGAAAGGAGAGAAGGCAATATGTCAGTGTGCTGCAGTGTTCACTAGCTCCTTCCTGACATGCCATCACAAAACTACCCAGGGGACTGAGCCCACTCTTCCACCCACATATTCACCCCACCACTGCTTGGCACTGAAAAATGTGTCCAAGTGAATACATGGTGCTCAGAATAAATAATCTGCACAGTAACGTCTTTGGGAACTAACCTGAAATTCAAAAAGAGTTGACATGCCCCCCCAGAACCTCCCAAAACCCCGCACAGGGAAGGACACCATCTTAGAAGCTTCTAACCTTGTTTGCTCCCCACCTCCTCAAAGTCCCCCCTCCTGACAATAAAGCCACCAGCATGGAAACACTCGGTGTGCAATCCGCAGGCACTACTGGGTCACTAAGCTCTTTTTTTTTTTTTCCTTTTCTTGGTAAATTCATGCATTTGCTCTGTTTAGATGACACCTTTTACGCTGCAGTGTGGGATAACAATGCACAGACATTTATGGCAGGAAGTGTCTTTGGTTGTAGCCCTAGCTCTGATCATGCCTCCTGAGTGCCGCTTTTGCACTGCATTCTACATACAGGCTCTGCTGTGATGCCGGGTTTAGAATTGAAACCCAAGCTGGAGATGCACTCATGGGATTCACTCAATTTAGATTGGAAGTCTCTGTGTTGCAGCTCAGCCTTCGGGAAGTGGAAAGCTCCATTATGTTGTCAGAGCAGCAGTTCAAGTTCCTCAAAATGTGCACCACGAGGCAGCTGGAGCCCTGGGCTGAGCTGACTGTTCTGTGGCAGAAGGTGCTGAATTCTGTTTTGCAGCCCACGTCGCTGTTTTCAGTCTACTTTTGCCTTCACACGCAACAAAGGACACATGGTCACACCCACAGAAGGGGTGTCATCTGCAGTTGTTATCACATTTGCTCTGTGCATGACTGGAACTGGTAACTGTGCTAACACCAGAACGTTACTAAGCGACGTTACTCAGGCATGATGGTTAGAAACGGAGAAGGTGTCTATGTGCAATCAGGAGCACATGTCAAGATGGGGAGTGTGAGCTCGCATTCATTTGCTTAATTCAAGGGAGCCACTAAAGCTCGAGACTGCCAAACTCTGAATGATGTGTGATCCCTAGACAGCAACCCCACCATCATTCCTTGAGGCAGCAGATGCTGCAAGAAAGTCTGAACTGCCAGGTATCTCTATGCTCTGGCAAACAGTCCGAAAACTCAAGGCTAACAAATCACTCACCCCTGCTCCCTGACATGTGGCTGACTAATGCACAGCAAGCCCTGCTGTTTTACTGGCCCCATCAGCGTTCATACACTGTAAGCTAAGCATGTTAACCAAGTGGCTGGGAGGAAAGAAGAGGCTGAGGCAAGTCTCTTCCCAGTGAACTCAAAAGACATGAGGTGAAGGCAGATCCTGGAAAGAGTTAGGCCACATGGATACATGATGCAGATTACAGCTGTGAGCTAGGCTTGTGAAGAAGCATTCTGGTATTTAAGCAACTTCTTTTCCCCGGGAGTTACAAACCAAAAAGCCTATGACATCCGAATGATTAGATGTGAAAAGACGACAATGACTAGGCTGAACCAGGCTCATGCTTCTGAAGCATTTATTCTGCAAAATACACCAGTAGACAGCAATGTGTGCTGTGTTCAGATTCTGAAGATACTCGTATAATAAAAATGCGGCTGTGACAATGTCTAAACAAAGGAAAGAATTCCGTTTAGCAGAATTCACAAGAAATACCAACCATTTATTTTAAGACACATGGCACATCATAGTGAAAGAGGCTTGCTTTATAAAATTCAGCGTTAGCCTGTTAGCTTGACTGCGGTATTCTGTTAGATAACTTACAAGAAGAGGGTTACAGAGGAGCCAGGGGCACAGCAAAAGGACAAGAAGCAATGTGTACAACTTCCAGCCCAGAGACTGTGACCAGGAAGAAGGAAAAAATTTCTTCCTTCATGAGAGTGGTGCAGCACAGCAACAGGTGCCCAGGGAGGCCATGGGATCTCTGTCCATCAAGATTTCTAAGACCTGCCTTGACAAAGACCTGAGCAACCTGATCTCGCTGTGCAGAGCTTGCACTGGAGGTCCCCAGAGGTCCCTTCCTCCCCAGATGACTCCGGGATCCTACGATATGCAGGCTGGCAATGCTGCTTGGCCCTGGGGACCTGACTCATTGATCTGAATAGAACTGCTCCTCCCCGCCCCAGACACATGGGACGGAAGAGGGGGCTTTCCATCGTCTTTATGAGCCATGGGTCATTTTGCTAACAAATATCTCTTGGTTCTATGATGGCTTTTTCCTACAACAGCCTGGACTTTTTCTTCTGAAAGTGCTATCGGCACTGAGAAGTCAGTAGGTCAGACTTGGTGACCCACATCTGGGTATTCATAAATAAAGCTAGAATTTAAGATGAAAGCAAAGAAAATAATGAAAATACTTAAAGAGCTAAAAGTATTAACACTGAAGAAACTATTTCTTAAATGAAAATTCTGTAGCAGTGCAATATTCTTTTTAAAAGTAAGAAAAAATCATACTTTTCCAGTAGGATAGAAAGAATTCAAGAAAAGTGCCCTGCAAAGGCTTCTACTCACCTATTCCTTCTAGAAATTAAAATTCACCTTTCTCTTCATTATCAGTCCTAACAAAGAGCACAGCATGTAGACTTCAAATCCAAAATGAGAACTACTTATGTCTGGTTTCTAAGTTTGCTCTGGAAATAACTGTGTGCATTTGCCATTCTCTTCAGGCAAGTGAGACTCATCTGCTAGGTCACAAAGGATGTAATTGCCTGGTCTTGCACTGCACACTTGTGACATTACTCTTGTGTCTGAAAATGTGTTTTTCAGAGGAGAGGAAAGGGGAGGAAAGAGGAGAGGAGAGGAGAGGAGAGGAGAGGAGAGGAGAGGAGAGGAGAGGAGAGATGTTCCCTTAAAATAGAAACACCTTTTTTTTCCACTATCTCAGAAAGACCTGTGCTTATACCGACTACACATGATTACATCTTGATGGTTTTGAATCATTTAGGAGGGAGTGATGTGAGAAAAGACTGCTTAGGTGTATATGCAGTGATGGAAAGAGAGACTGAGAGTTCAAGCAACCCAACTGGCCTTCTAGCTCTCCTTTATGGACTGAAGTTTTAGAAAAAAACAAATAAGGAAAGTGGGTTTTGGTTTGCAGTTGGGCTTTTTTTTTGGGTTTTTTCCATTTCAGAGCCTAAATATCCTGCTATAAAGGGTGGTGAGAAGTTCAGGGGGAAGCAATGGAAACTGATTCAATCAGAGGATAAATACTTTGTTTCACCTTAGGACCAGTCATTTGTCTGGTATGTAGGTTGCCAGTGAAACAAACCTTATCAGTATCCTGTTAACAGTATCCACATCTGCATAGCGATCACTTTGTGGCTGATAGAGCAACAATGATTTAGATATGTTGCATATAAATTGTACCTGAGCGGCACTTCTGAGTAATCTGTTCCATGACTATCAAAGGTTCATTTTTTTTTCCCTAAACCTTTTTGTTTCTGCACTTAACACTGTTACCGACGTTGAAAGTAGGAAGGGAAAAGATCAGTAATATAAGGTCACAAAAACAAACTTTTCTACGTTTTAGTCTACAGTGTTGTAAGTCCTGTTGTATCTAACAGAAAAGGCAAATAGGCTATACTGCAGAATAGAAGCATTATTTTCAATTGACCCGTGTAGGTTTGTAGAGCCTATCTGTGTTGAAATCTGAAGGAACTTTCTAAGTGGGAATAAAGCACAAAACCAGTAACATAGCTCTTAGCAGGAAATGTCAGAACTGTTCATGCACAGGGCTTCATGTCTGCATGTTCTGAAATGTATTTTTAGGTTTTAGAAGGGCTTTAGGTTTCAATTCATACCTGTGGGGATTTTTTTTTTTCTTCCAAAATAGAAGACAAAACCACTGTCGTAAAAATATCCTGCAGCAAACAGCAGTTAAAGGCAGCTCAGGCATTCTGCCTGTGGAGTTGCTGGGTGAAGCAGGGGATAGTTCAAACAACTTAGGAACAGCAGCTCTGGTCCTCTGAACTACTGTGAGAGTAAAATATTGAAACATACTTTTAAGAGGCATCGATCGTATTACTTTTAATCTTATTTTGAGTTAAATTTAATGGATCATTAATATCATCTACATTCAGTTGTTAAATCATTATAATACTTGGTGGATGGCGCAGGTTAGAATTTGAGTTTCATTTTATAGCTCTTACTGTGCTCACAGTTACATTAGCCCCAAACCATCTTGCACTGCTATATATCTTGTTTATGTTCCTTTTAGGTGAATAGGTTATGTAAGATCACACACATGAGCACAATACATCCACAACGCCGATCATACTACTTTTCTCATGAGAACCAGCAAAGCTTTTGCACCTGTGTCCATTTTTGGGTGTTCCTTAGACACTTTGCTCTGCTTTGGCCAAAAAGACTTTTTTTATATTAATAAAAAGAATGCTTTTTAATCTTCATTTTCTACTGTATTCTGATGAGCAAGATATCACACAAGAAGAGACAGAATGGTGGCTGAAAATAAGGCTTTGAAGCTGTATTGAAAGAAGTAACTTCCTTCCTTTTATCTGTTTCTCAGCCTTCCTCAGAGCCATAGCACGGCATATGTATACTTCTGGAGGCAGGCAAAGCTAATACAGGATGCAACTGACTGTACTAAACCAGTTCTTTCCATAACTCAGAGGGACTTGCTCATCAATGGCAGGAGATATCACATATGCAGACGTTGCAATGCTACCCAGGGAGAGACCACACGTGCCTTCTCGGACATCACTTCCAGGTAAATCAGCTCTTGGATGTAGACTGTTTTCTCTCCTGTGCCCTCTCTCTCTCTTTCTCTCTTTCATTTTTAAAGTTGTCACTGGGTAAGACTACAAGAATGCTATACCATGCTGCATGCAGAAGTCGCAGGAAGGGTGAAAAGTTGCAAATGGTGGCAGAGATTCTCATGAGATACAAATGAGCAAAGCTACTCCTAATTCAGTATTGCTACGGAGTAGTATCTCAGTTCTGGCCCCTTGCTTTAAGTAACAATGAGAAACAAAAATTGTTCATTTTTTGAATAATGAGCATAATCTTTTCTTATATATTAACAATATGATCAACAACCTGTTAGAATATGCTCCACCAAATTACTAGCCAGTCCAAAAATCAGATCAATGCATTTTATGATGTCTTCATGGAAAAGGAGTAGTAAATTGGCTAGTAAATCAGAAAAATAGTGGCAGTCAAAACTGCAAACACTGTAGCTGAAGGAAGTACTGAATGACTCCTAAAATCCTCCTGCTCTTCCTCTTTGATTATCCAGTAGTGATTTTCCCAGAACCACGCTATCAGTCTGGGATTGCTTCATATGTTTGTAACAAAAGACAAAGGTTTAAGTCAATATTCACAGTAAGGAGATAATTTAAATCATATTTTTTTAAGAAATAGTATTTCCACTACCTGGAAAAAAATGTAATTCATTCATGAAAGCATTTTGTCGAAGTTCTGGATCACAGCTAATGTGAATGACAACTTCTCACTATGACCAAATAGGAAATGCTTGTAGTCAGAGTAAGATGATATTTTTGTGCTTTCAAGGTTCATTAGTAATTAATGTGTTTAACTACTTAAGGAAACTACATTGTGTAATGAGCATTTTTAGAAGATGTTCTACTTACAATGTAGATTAATAGCGATGATGGTGCTCTGATTGCGTGTACTTAAATGGCAGAAAAACCTATTTTTTCATATTTTCACAAAACCTTTATCTAAAAAATAAAAAATGAGTTCACTTTATTATATATCTAACAGAAAATAGTACTTTACATTTCATGTTCATGCATTGATGGATGTTGTTTGTACTACTGTACTACCTGTACACAAAACACAGAGGATTTGCCTAGAATTTTACCATGTTTCTAAGGTGATATAATTTATTTGCAAAGGGAGACAGGCATCAAATCTTGATTTGAAGACATCCAAAAATGATCCCTGATCATCCTATCTAAAGGAAAAACTTGAATTTGAATAGGCCAGGCTTTAATTTCCAATGAAAGTTCTCATTAACATCTAAATGGTTCTTGTTAAACCTTTGTCGAACAGATTTTAACACTCAATATTTTCTCACATGAAGTTACTGGCCAGAGTAAGCAAGTAATTGCTCAGTGTCCTTTTGCCTTTAAATCCTTCACTCTCACTTTCCCAAGAACTCTATTTTTGTGGATGTTTTTCTGTTTAATCTCCGGTGTTTCCATCTCCTTTAAAAAATATGGGCACCAGAGATGCACCCAGCATGCACAAGTTTCAGTTATACAGAGACAAAAATCTCTTAAATAATCTTTCCTTCACTGTTTATAACTTCCAGTATCACCTTCCCTAACCCTTACATCTGGTTATACCCAAACACATTTTGTTTGACTGGGCTTGAACTTACAGGGTTGTGATTAAGGCTGTCTTTATTTATTGTTTTGTTAACCTTTCTATTATTTTCAGATTTTATTAGCAATTATTTTTCTACTTACTTTGACACAGATAGAAAAAGGACCAAATAATATTAAGCAATATTGGACCTCATATCAGTTTGGAATGTACTAGAAATATCTTCTTGATGACAATTATTTCTCTGTCTTCATCATTAACTTATACTAATATAGGTTTTATTGCTACTAAAATAGGCAAGAATTTGAGTCATATTATCACGCTTTAAAAATTCAAATGAACAATTTCAGTTGCTTGTTCCTTCTTTGAAGTTTTAAAGATTTGACCAGAATTCATATGTACTCATCCAGCTGGTGAGTGTTCTTTTATTCCTAGAGGCTCTTCAGAAACAGAATACTCACTTTTACCATAGGAAGAAGAGAAGAAAACACGTTTTTTCTACAGGATTATTCTGTAATTTTAAACAAACTTGGTAGGAAATTTGAAAAAAAAACAAACCCTGAAAGGTGACAGGCACGTTGAGCAATGTTCATAAAACAGACCTAAGCTCAGTGAAAGTATAGCAATGATCAGTGTTAAGGTTCCCCACTGCATAGTGGACCCTCGCTGGGATGCCCCGCATTTCTTTACAGCTAACGGGGCAGAGTCTGTGATCCTAGCGTGGTGAGATAGGAACTGCCCAAAGTGGCTAATAGGATAGAGCAAGGACACAAGGTGCTGCTCAGCCAGATGTTTCTGGGAGTTAGATCCTTCCCTGCAAGCTAGAAGGAGCTCTCTCCTACATGAACTGGGCTCAAGGCTGCTTCAGACAGGACAGCTTCTGCGTACCCAACACGCTTACAGCATGTCCCACTCGTTACCACACCCTGCATGAAGAGGTTTCAATGCTTCCTCCAGGCTGGAGCAGGAACTCGAAGCTGATTCTCAAACTGAGGGTCTCGTCTCCAAGGTGATGGGGGTCTCTGTGGCAAGCATTGCAAGCTCTCCCTTTGGCACTGTCCCAACTTTGTGACACACTGAAATGTCCACTGGGGGATGACTAGTAGCCACATCCCTCTCTGCCAGATTTCGTGCCAGTCTTGCTCTTGGCCAGGGATGTCTGACTGTCTTGCAGAAAGAGAAGCAGCTTTGAGATGGGCATGAGGGAAAGCACTGCATGGTTAAAACTCTCACCACAGAGAAGGGAGAGCTTGGGTTTAATCACCACTGGAAATTCAGCAGATGAATGCTCCGAGGGGCAGATTCCCAAACTTCACGCAAGACTTCACATCACTAGGCAATGGGAAAGTGGAACATGCCCACCACCTCCTGGCTGCATTTAGTGCAAGTTTTAGACCATTACATGCAATTTACTGGGGTAGATACTAAAAAACACATGAGTGGGGGGCATAACTAATTTGTTCTGCTGAAGTATGGCTGCTGGCAAGATCTGGTGCACATGAAAGGTAAACATGCAGGGAGCTGAACTTCTGCCAAGTAGTATTTGAGTAGGTGTTTCAAATATGTAAAATTTGGATTTGAGAGTGAAAGTCCCTTTACAGATCCAGTGCTCACCCCCTTTTGTTTTTTTTAGCTTTTCTTTATCCGTGAGAACAGGATTTGGTTTCATCAAATTATGCAGTTTCTTGGAGTTCTCCCAAATACTATTTTTATCTCAAAGTCTATTCAATGTATTTTATGAGGATACAGAAGAAGATATAAAAATCACCAGTGGCACAGTTAGAAAGAATGTAGAAGTTTGCAGTCCAGTGATAAGGAAAGCTCAGTCATCAAAAACCACTGGGATAAACTTGACAGACTGGACAAACTGTGTTAAATAGTGTTTAATGCAATGTAGCAATAAAAAATGCCCGCAGCTGTACGTCTGGGAGGCTGCACCCAGAAAAGTGATTGAAATGGATTTGTTCTGATCCTATTCCAATGGGAAAGTCAACATCAAATTACACAACCAGTTGGCCTTCAGCTGTCAGTTAGGTGCTCTGAATTACAAGGATGAGGTGATTCTTGGATGCTCTAGCAGGACATGGTTGTCAGGCACTGGAGTGGGCTGCTCAGGGAGGTGGTCGAGTCCCCATCCCTGGAGGTATTTAAAAGCCGGGCAGATGAGGTGCTCAGGGACATGGTTTAGTGGTGGGATGGCAGTGTTAGGTTAATGGTTGGACTTGATGATCTTAAAGGTCTTTTCCAACCTAAACGATTATATGATTCTATGATTCTATGCTGAGGAGGAGTTAGTAGGTGCACATGCTTTGGCAGGCTAGCTAGTGCTATTACAGTGCATGTGCTTCAAAACAGATGTTCAAAAGTAGAAAAGTGTTCCAAAAATAAAATAAATAAAAAATAAATAAAGCCTGAAAATCCATGTTCTAATGAAAGACTCAGACAGTTTTTGCTTCTGAGTTTACTCAAGAGTCATCTGATTACAGTCCATAAATGACTACATACAAGAACTTTCCTCCAGCAGGAAAACAAACCAAGAAAAGTTCGGCTCCATGATTGAACTAGTCTAGAAGTAGTTGTAAGCTGCTATTAGTTCACCCCTTAGCTTCTTGTTTCCCTCCTTAGCCTCCTTGGTCCCTCCAGGTCCTGACCATTTTATTATCCACCCTCTTCTGGACCCTCTCCAGCTTTCCCCAATCCCCCATGGATGGGGTAGCCCACATCTGGACACAATGCTCCAGGTGTGACTGCAGCAGCAGCAAGTGCAGCAGCACAGAAACTTCCCCTGTTCTGCAGGCCAGGGCTCTCCTAACGCGGCCCCGCTGGTGACTTGCAGGAACTGTGATGATGGGGGTGTGCTGTGGGTTCACGTTCAACCTGGTGTCCAGTTGATCACAAGAGCCTGATGGCTGTTAAGCCTGACTCTTTGGAGTGAGTGACCCGCCAGAAGCACTCCCGATCTGCACTTGCGCCAAGTAGAAGCTTCCAGAGATGTCTTTCTGCCCTTGAAAATTTGCATGTAGAAATGAACTGAAATTTCAGTTTTAGTAAGTGACAGAGATCTCCACCTAGTACCAGGGCTCTTTGTTGCTAAACCATGTAAGGGTGTACAAGCATCTGGCAAAATTAAGGTTACATGGTATTTTAAAACCACTTGCTGACTTCTGAGGACTTCACATTCAAATGATCATGTGCCAATAGAAGTAATACTTTTTTTTCTAATATGCAGTTTGCATGGGTAATATTTTTTTTTCATACAGTCTGAGAGATACTCTTTAAAAGAATGAATCTTTATTTGAGGGAGAAAATATTTAGTAATAGTAGCAGATTTTCCAAAGTAGGTATTCTAGAAGAAGTGCCTCCATTTATAAGGCTAGTGCATTTAAAAGATTAAAAGTCCTGACTGTTGTTCTTTGCAAAATATTTACATTCTAAGAAGAAAAAACTTTTATGAGCATTTCCTTTTGAGAACAGTTACTTACCTATAGTTATATATAATCTACAAATTTTCAGTAGTTCATTGAACTTATAAATTGCAATAAAGCAAAGAGCAAAGTTTATAGGGGAGGTTCTCTAAAGCATAGAACATCTTACCTGTAAGAATAAACCTTGTTTGCCAATCAGGTCCTCAGTACTTTTCTTGCTGTAAAACCTCTCCATGCTTCAGCAATTTTCATATCAAATGGTACTTCATTTTAGCCTAATGAGACTCTCTTCTTCTGCCAAGTTTTTCCCTGATCAGTGAGATTTTATACAACACAACTTGTTTACTTCTTTTTAAAAGCCCCAGTGATCACAAACTAAGGCTGTAACAGAGAAGCTTATTCTTGATTCAGACTGATAAAATCTCACTATTTATGGAAAGAAGATCAGTCTACCAAAGGTCCAATATCTTCCATAAAACTAGCCAGTAGCTCTGCAAAATACCTAGCTAAAACAAAATTGAAAATGTGTTCAGAAAGAATCCATGTGCATCTAACTCGTGCCATGCTGTTTTAATGGTCTTTTGTCTTCTTTTGGCAATGTACACCTGGAAAGGGATGCCTTCAACCATTGAGTCTATTCCTCTGCTATTCCAGGCATCGCATAATACATCCTGGCATAAACATTCACAAGTCAGGAATGTGCCCAAGAATCACCTTCTGCAGAAGCATTTCTCTGAGTGGCAGCTTTCCCTTTGGGGTCTCCCTGCTCCATGAAGTGGTCACGGGCCGGATGCCCCTTAAGCCCCTGTGATACCTCCTGAGATGGCTTAGCAACAAATGGGATGCTTGCTATGGATAGTACGCAGGTCTTACCCATCCTTCAGTCTGTCTGTCTGCCTCGTAGTCCAGCCACACAGGACCCAAGTAGTTCAAGCAAAGATTATGGAAGAGACTTTGTGTTACTTCTGACAGCAGCAGGAAATGATAAGTCATCATCTTGCCTGTTGTTTCTTAAAAAAAAAAAAGCTGAACTAGCAGCTCTGGAAACGCATGCCCCTTTTTATAAAGACTCAGTCTTCTATGTAATTCTGTATTGTTTCTCCACTTAATGGCTTGCACAACCACAAATGTCAGCATTTCCCTACTCCTTACAGGAAACATGATCACATACGCTGAGCTGCGCGTGAAGCCGAAACCCAAAGGGAGCAGCAGATCAGAGACTTCCGCTTCTGGTAGTGTGCTATTATTTTGTTTGGTTGTTGGTTACTAATTATAGATTTAGTCTTTCCTATTACCCAACAGTAAAACCTGTTATCAAGACTCTTTATACACAATCTCTCAATAAAGGACCGGATTTTTTTCACTGAGTTCTCAGATTATACACTTTCCTTGTAAAAATAATATTGAAAGATATTTTAAAAATAATTTTAAAAAATGCTTTTGTGCCCTACCTTGAAAGTTTAGCAAAGGAAAGTAAAATTGCACATCTTTTTAGGAACCCTCCTGTAAGTAAGTGTCTCTGCAGCAAGAGTCACAGGGACACATCTGGCTTTGGAAGTAGCGTAATACCCAGCTCTCTATGTGCAGTTATTGCACTGATGATTGCCACCTTCTCTGCACTGAAGGACATGTGCCAGACAAGGACAGGCTCACAGAACTCTGTGAGCTGAAAGGGAACATTACAAAATACTTCTCAGGCAGCCAGAGAATGGGGCAGTCACGCAGGCAAGGTCAGGAAAACAGCAGTCATGAAAGTGCAACTCTGTGGTTTGTGGAAATGGCACCTAGTCCCCCAGTTTCCTCGGGCCCTACCTCTTCATGAGTGTTTCACTTTGACGAGCTGATAAATGCTAAACAGCTGTAGAGGTGCTTGGTCAGATGCACTTCACTGTGCTGTGGTGTCAGTACGAGATTTTTTTTGCCTTTTCTGTGCATTCAGGTAAGTTGGCTTTCAGCCACGTGACAGGCATGTTAACACAGGAGAGTGTGACCAGAGAGGAGGAACATACCATGGACCATCCCTGATACATTCCCTGAATTGCCCTGCAGGGTCTTGCAGGGTGTGGGTGGGTGGGTGGGAGGAGGCAACGCTTGAAAAAATTAACTCAAAGCAGAAAGAAAGAATTCTTAATGGAAGGGTTTATTGAAAATCACTTCGCTATCTGGCAACATGATCTATTGATTTCTCTTTCATGTATGCAAACTGGATGCAAATTTTTAATAAGTAAAATGTCCCTGCATACTTCAAACAGCAGACCAATTTTAGGTGGATTGTTTCCACATAAGAAACTGGCATACATAAAGGCAGTGTTAATTTTAATAGTGCAAAGACTTTAAGCCTCTCTTCCTCCTGCTTCCCTCCAGGCTGCCAACACAGGCGCTCAGCCTCATTCTACGTTGCGCTGGTCCTGGGATTCCTTGTGCTCATCCTGCTGGGCGTCATAGCTGTGCTAGCCAAGCAATGTGAGTAGATCCTACCACCTGCTTCACCTCTTCATTGCAGACATGGCTAAACCTCACAAGAAGACTGATGCCAAAAGAGAAATTGCCTTAGTGTCACATTAAAGGTGTCGAGTTATACAGAAATACAGGAAAATAAATGTAGCATTCCAAAGGGAACACCTGCTACCTGTCATTTAACATAGATAGCACAGATGAAGGGGAGTTGCTGCAGTTTACCTTGCCATCAGTGATACTGAAAGGCTGTAGAAGCAGATTTCAAACCATTATGACAATCAAAACATTTGGCCTTCCTGACTGACAAGTTAAAAGTTGGGTGGGTGGGTGGGAGGAGGCAACGCTTGAAAAAATTAACTCAAAGCAGAAAGAAAGAATTCTTAATGGAAGGGTTTATTGAAAATCACTTCGCTATCTGGCAACATGATCTATTGATTTCTCTTTCATGTATGCAAACTGGATGCAAATTTTTAATAAGTAAAATGTCCCTGCATACTTCAAACAGCAGACCAATTTTAGGTGGATTGTTTCCACATAAGAAACTGGCATACATAAAGGCAGTGTTAATTTTAATAGTGCAAAGACTTTAAGCCTCTCTTCCTCCTGCTTCCCTCCAGGCTGCCAACACAGGCGCTCAGCCTCATTCTACGTTGCGCTGGTCCTGGGATTCCTTGTGCTCATCCTGCTGGGCGTCATAGCTGTGCTAGCCAAGCAATGTGAGTAGATCCTACCACCTGCTTCACCTCTTCATTGCAGACATGGCTAAACCTCACAAGAAGACTGATGCCAAAAGAGAAATTGCCTTAGTGTCACATTAAAGGTGTCGAGTTATACAGAAATACAGGAAAATAAATGTAGCATTCCAAAGGGAACACCTGCTACCTGTCATTTAACATAGATAGCACAGATGAAGGGGAGTTGCTGCAGTTTACCTTGCCATCAGTGATACTGAAAGGCTGTAGAAGCAGATTTCAAACCATTATGACAATCAAAACATTTGGCCTTCCTGACTGACAAGTTAAAAGTTGCATCAATTTCACTTAATTACTTTGTAGGTTTGAACAAATAAAACAAAAATTGGACTTCCAGACTTCCCTGATACTAGTAACACCATAACAGCATGCTCCACAGCATAAAAGAGCTCTTCCAGCGAAGATATTAATTTCCTAAGAGAAAACAGTCTTGAGAAACTTAAGAAAAAACAGGTACCTCCCAACTTTCCCTAAAATCTCACCAAAACAGTGTATTCTTTGTATATCAAACTATCAAAAATGACAAACTTATTTTCTCTCCCTGTGCTGTCCATATTATTCAGCAGCTACACCCTTTGCTAGACAGTTACGCTCACCGAGTACGCTCATAACTGAGTGTGTATATCCCCCCCCATGTATAGACACACACACACATATCCTCACATTCACAGTATAACGTTGGGTACCAAGACTACCTTTCTGTGACCCTGTTGTTAACCATAATCTTCTTTTTTTTCTTTTTATTCAAGTTTTGAAGGTCAGAGCAGGAAAATCAGAAAGTTTGCCCCCGGATGGTCTAAATATAACTGGTGATCACATTTATTCAGAGAAAACTGTCTCGGCGGCGGTCCTGAAGTGGCTCACGGAGGAACTGTGTCAAGATGGCCAGGGTGAGGAAAGTTAGTTCTTTCACAGCGCAGAGGACCTGTTACGGGCACACTTCCGTTGCCTCTGTTCCCACTTCTGTGGCACCCTGCAATTTATGGGAAATCACTGGTACTACCCAGAGAGCATAGTGTTCCTGCATAGAAGTGATGCCAGAATCTAAACTAACATTTTGACAATAGTTTTGTTCGTCTTTTGGCATAAATAGTTTCCAGTAATTTCTTGCATTTCTTTCTGGCAGGAGCTGCTGTCAGAAATGCCATATTTTGTAGATCCTCCCCTGGTCCTGGCGAACACTTTCCAGACAATAATTGTTCACAAATAGTGGAAATAGTGGGAGGGAATTTAGCTTTCCTTGTCTTTTTATTGTGGATCTCTTATTCGTTGGCAAATATTAATGCTTTTCTAAGTATTTATTGTAATTATGTTACTTTGAAACATTAGAGGAAGCCAAGACAGAAAACGTGAGGGACATTCCTCCCAGATGCTCTGAGTCAAAAGGGAAGTAGACCTGGGAATAGCAGTGTTCCCCTTATTTAACACAGTTCCTTCTCCAGCTCCATGGACATAGGTTGAATGTACTGTACATTTGAATGCAGCTGTACTTTCCGGTCCCATCATGTGTCACATCCACACACTCCACATCATGTCACATTGCACGGTGTCTTCTCACACAGGCTGCATGTGGGAGGAGGAAAAGTGTCTTCGCAGCCCTCTAGGTTGTCCTGGTGCTCTCCACCAGGCGGGTGTGCAGGGAGGTGAACCCAATGCTATGCAACGGGAGCGCAGAAGTGCATAGCACCATGGCAAGGTAGTGGGAAGCTGAGGAGAGGACTGTCACTGGAGCATTCAAACCTCTCTCCACACCCAGCGAATGCATGCTTGGGAGTGAGGACCGGCTGCTGATGGACCAGCCAGCCAGGCACGTGAATGTAAAATGCTAGAAGGCAACCGGAACAAGTCATGGTACGAGCTAACGGTTCCCTCTCTCCACCCACAGGAACAACATGCCAGCTGTGTCCTCCAGGGTGGCAGCTACACAGGGGGAGATGTTACTACTTCTCTGAGAAGGTTGCAAGCTGGAATGACAGCCAGAGAAACTGTCTGGCCAGGAAATCCCATCTTCTTGTCATTGAAGATGAAATTGAGATGGTGAGTCTTGAGGCAGCCCTAAAATCGTATGATAGGCTTTAGCCAAACATTTCACCAAGTGAACATGGCCCAGATGTCAGGTGTACATGCAGGCAAGCAAGAGCCTCATCAAATGCAGAGCATCTGACTCTACAGACAGGAGCTTGTTTTGGAGAGGGTCAACAGAGTAGAGCTGAAGGGGAGAAGCACAAGAGATGCAAAGATGGAAGCCAGAATAGTTTTGACTGGGAGGAGGAAATGCTGGGGACTTCCTACCTATTTCCATTACTTGGCTCTGGGAAGAGAGGTCTGATTCAACCCCTAAATGGGAATTCAAACAGCCAAGCCTCCTTCTCATTTTCCTTTGAGAAAATAAATAGCAAGGTATTGCTGAATGGCTCTTCTGAGAAACACATCATTCCCTGAGGAACAGGTCTTTTACCAGAAAGACCAGGCTTTGCAACCTGGCTCATTAGCATGAGGAGCATCACTGAGGGTTTTTTTGACAGCTGATGAGAAGCCAGTCAGCCTGAGAGCCAGCCTGAATCGAAACTCTGTGGCTGGTCACATGCGTATGGGCTGTTGTAGTGGGCTACTTTGCCATGGCTGGATCCCTGCCCTTGCTCCCCATGTGAGGGACTACCTGAAAAGTGGTGCATGAGATGGGACAGTGACCCGAGCACAGCAGAAAAGCTCTGCTGTTGGGTAACATGCTTCTACTTGTTCCACAGGAATTCATAGACAATAAAGAGAAAGATACAAAATATATCTGGATTGTGTTGAAGAGTCAAGACATGCAGAAACAATGGATTTCAGCTGAAGATCCTGGAGCAAAAGAAAACAGGTGATGATTTGGAGGGGGCGGTGGGGGAAGTGTCTTCCACAAAAGCTAAGGTGTGGTACTCTCCATGTAAATACAACTCTGAATTCAAGCTAATTTCCCAAAGCACAGACCTAGTCCTGCAGCCTCAGGCACCTATTCAGGGTCTGTATCACAGCCAATTCCAGGTTAACTGGTTCCTGCTGGACACCTTTGGAAACAGATTTGTTTTCTGCCTTCAAGACCAAACACAGTCACAGTCCATGTATGTATTAATGCAGAGGGACATTAATACTCACTTCTTCCACTGAAATCACTGTCAACAAACTCTCTCAGTGTACGGCCCATGTATACCACCTCCACTGAATGTGACGCCTGTCACATCGTGCGGGTGCTGGGATCCGTGCAGCTGAGGGCTTTCTTCCCCTCCCTTTTACCATGACAGTTCAGAATTGTGGCTCCATGTGGAGGTTTTCTCATGCTTCTGACACTAATGTTTATGAGCATCAGCTCCTCAGCAGCCAGGAGTCTCTGCTGTGGGTGCCCATCCCACCTATGCATGGGTCTTGAGGAACTGTGCTTCAGTGGGCGTCACCTGAACCTCTCACTCAAGATATTATCGATATTTTTACTCTTGAGGAACTGTGCTTCAGTGGGTTACCAAATGGGCGCCACCCGAACCTCTCACTCAAGATATTATCGATATTTTTATCCAGTACTGCACCTAAAGCTGACATCTCATTGTATTTCTTGTGTTCTCTCACCAGGATAGCTATAAATAGAATAGATGCTGTTAAGAACTGTGCTGTTTACAGAAGAAAAAACATGATCCAAGCAGATAACTGCCAGACTTTAAAGAAGTGGATCTGTAAGAAGAACGCAACTTTGTTGGTGCTCTGAGCCAAATTTTCAAACAACAGGCAAAGCTTTTTGTCAGAAGACTCATTTTAGTGATAAAACAACATGTGATGTAAACAATTTTATGAGACTTGCACAGAAATTCGCATTTTGCTGTTCTGTGCTCCCTAAGACTTTGTCTGACGCAAACAGGGAACTCAGAAGTTGCCAGGTGTCAGTGTGAAGGTCACGCAACAGGACTGCAAGTCAGCGCATGTGGATTTGGGGGTGCTGGGCCTTCCCACGGACAGATGTTGTCAGCAGCTGCCTCTAGGAAAGGGCAGGGGAGCAGAGGTACCCATGTGAGGATGAGCGCTGCGTACAAAAAATGCGTGACGTGCAGCAAAGATGCCATCTGTGGGGGCTGAAGGGTGTGGAGCCCACTGCTGTTGTACGTATTCCTGAAGCAGCCACTGCTGAGCTGGAGGAACTTTTTATTTGGGTTTCAGTGTTTTAGTGTTTTCTGGAGTTTGTGGGTTTTTTCCTTACAGTCTAATTGCGACTTACAGAAGCCAATCGAGGCTGGCAAAAATGTGTTTTTTGGATGGTGCCTTATCCTTATTCAGAGCTGACGGGCACAGCTGCTGGGTATACGGATACCAGAACAAGCACAAAGTTACTCATAACACTTGTGATTAACAAGCTGATGACTCCCATCTTCTTCTGATGCTGAACCTTGGGATCTGAAAGAAAGTTCTTAGGTAGGGAAGGGGCTTGGACCCTAAGACAACATTGCAGTGCAAGGAAATGAAGATGGTAGCCTGCTTTTCCACCTATATTTTGTCCCTTTATGTTGCAAATTCTTTAATGTGGAACCATAGATACTGCCTGGAAGGTATGATGATGAGGTACTGAAGCTAAAGGCTGGTGAAATTAATGCTTGTGGTGGCACTCAGTAAATAATTACTTGGGCATTCATGTGTCATGGATACATACTATTTCTGGATCTAGAATACAAAAATGTTAAAACCAGTCTGCCTTAGTGCCTTTATTAGATTAATATTAATATTTGAAAAAAAATGAAAAAGATGTCACAAATTGATTTTTAAGAAATCAGACATATAACTGGTTTCAGCTTTTAAAAATACCTTAGTCTAATAAAGGTAGTTAATTCCTCTAGATCTGTAGCTACCATGTGTCTTTGAAATCAGAGTGACCAAATGCAAAGGAAATGTTTGCAGCATTGTTGAGCTATTTCCAGTGACTTGTGTTGCAAAAGTGAGAAAAGCAAGTAATGTGTAAGCATGGAAACTAAAAAACTCACATAGGGGACAATGGAAGTGGATATGTAATAAAAATGTTTTCCTCCTGTTTGCAAATCATGTACCACTTCTTGGGTATTGCCAGGGCTGTGAGTGCTCTAACAGGCCTTAAGGGTCCTCCCCAGCCCCTCCTCTTGCATCTTTCTGGGTCTTCAGCCTCTCCCTAAGCTCTGTCAAAGATGTACTCGCCTCCAGCTCTGTCCCACCTACTGGATGGGACATCTGAGTCCTACCTACATGACAGGTTGGACAGTTCGACTGGTAACTGAACCAACTTTTTCTATGAATAAAGTATGAAACAATCCTGATGCAAAAACTGATATTCAGAAAGCTCAAAATTTAGTCCCCTTTCTGAACAGTGAATCTCTAGTCTCATATTCTCAGACTGTGGGGCAAAGCAGATGAGGCATTCTCATACTGACTGCTGTCTTACAAAGGTGTAAAATCTGCTTCTCTGTGCTTACAGACAGGGTTGCTCAATTTTAACCACCATAATTCTATTTCAGGCAGGACCTCTTCACATGCCCCTACTCCGTTGTTTTCCACAGTAAGTAGCTGAATTCTTACCTCATTTCATCAAATTACACAGTATTTTATAGCAGAAGGGACCTCGAGGCCCTTTCAGGGCCAGACAGGGGGTGAGTCTAAGTTCCCAGAGTTTTAATATAATTTTAGGTACTTTCACACTGGCCATGTGGGAGGGGGGCGGGGGGAAGCACCCTCAAAATGTAATGGTAAAATCAAAGGTGCTACTCTAACAAAAAATGCATTGACTGGAATTAAAGTCCTTATTAGCAATGAGAGAGAGAAACAAATCCCAGATGGCTTTTGAGATTTAAAGCCTTTAGCTCATCTTTGCTGTGCTACACATAATTAAAGGCAGGTGCAGTTTCCCAGGTACATTGTTCCATACCTGCACTAGATATCTAGTGCCCCTGTGGAGGGCTGTGGTTAATGTCTTGCAACTTGTGATGAGCAACCAACAGATATGTTTGCACATGAGCTCTTGGTGTAAAGTATCACAGCTTTAGCACGCACTTGACTGCAGCTGTGGAACAAAATGTTCATGAGCAATGTGGTAACACCAACCAGCCGATGGGCCTCCATCTATGGATGCTGACAGGTAACGCCTCACTTAATTATGGACAAAGAGAGATGCCAGGAAGGCAGTAGGTGCGTTTAAGTGAGAGTTGTAAAGGTATAGAGATCTTCTGCAGAAAGAGACACCGACCACGTGATGCAGTCTGCTGCGTTCCATGGGCACAGCACAATGGCTCTTCAGAAGAACTTTGGGGCTACAGATTAAAAAGTGAACCACACATTCTGTGTGGCTGACTTCCTTTCAAAGGAAAAAAACCCCACAGATTTACCCTACATGCAGCATCAGAAGCTAAGGACTCATTTGAAGGAATGCTGTTATTCTCATGTTAGAAAAACAACAAAAATTCCCCCAAACTCAGTGCAGCATGTGTGTGGGGAAGAGGATTGTTCTTTGTTTTCTTCTAGGCAGAGAAGCAAAGGCAAGGAAGGAGTCTGAAATGAAGAAGATCTATCCATCTATCTATAAAATGCATCTCTCTATATCTGCAATATATATATATTTAGATAGATAGATAGATAGATACATTCCCCATTGGGGAACTGTAACTTCAAGGTACTTAAAGCATACCCTTCTCCATGCATTGGAGACAACTGCTGAATTGCTGTTTTTATGGCAAATGTTTCTCGAGCCATGCTGAATTTAACAAGAAAAACTTAAAAATCCTGATCTGGCTTCTCTCAAATTGGTTGTGGTGTTTAGGTTTTAACAACATTCATGGAACATCCAGTATTTGAGCATTCTCACTATTACTCATGTAATTAAAGATGTTTTTGCAGGGCCTTCCTGAAGCTCTTACCTACATTTTAAGCAGTCACTAAATCTTGAGTAATTCCACCATTTAAAAAAAAAAAGAGAAAAAAAATGGCCACTGAAGTGGGGCTTCATTAAGCCCCACTCTGAGTGAAGCATTTGCAGCCTGACCCTTCATTTCTTAGCATGACAAACTTTGGACCCATTAAGACTCAGATTACAAGAGAGCTTTCATTATAACCTACTGTGCTCACAGTTTCTTCAAAACCTCCTTTAAGAACAAAAGTTTCCCATTTTTGGACTCTATCCATAGATGACACTGATGGAAACAAAAAATGTAACAGCGATGTTATTTGATAGTTAAAGGCAACATTCAGGTAAATCAGCTCGTTATTAAAGGCCAATGGTACATAAATACTCCTTATCACTTCCAATTCCTACTAAATTTGTGAAATGTACCCCTAGTATGCCCCTAATGGAAGTACGTGGAAAACTTTGCAAGAGTGAACTGCGGAAAATTCCATGTTTCCCTCCAAAGTTACTGTACTGTGTGTGTTTCACCATGTGCATTTCAGCACTTCCAGAGAAGTACTTCAGCATTACAGCCAAATGCTTTTGTTAAGTAAGTCTGACACATTTTGAAGTGTGAAAATCTGTTACAAGTGTTAGAAAGTGAAATGCATTCTTTTTCAGGTGAAATGTCTTGTCTCATGTCAACCCCACCATTATGATTTAAGATCTTTTCATATTCAACACCTAAAAATCTTGTTTTACTTCAGTCTGGTGATCTTTTTTCCCAAATGGTGCCCGAGCTGAAAAATACTTTTAATGGCACAATATTAAGACACAAACCACTGTAATTCAGAGGCTCTGTAAAGATATTTACTGAGAATCATTTCAGGACTATTGCACATACCATATCCTTCAGAGCTAGTTATTTTAAAAACATTGTAGAATACCTCCCTGCCCCCAACTAATTACATATAAATTAACACATAGATTATTAGGCTATTCATACTGTAGAGTTCCTTTGCCTATAAAGAATACAAGCAATATAAAAAGTGTAGTTCAGCAAAATTAGTGATCATATATAAATAAACATCTTAAAGTCACAAGTTGTTAACAATATCCATACTGCACAGTCCTGTTACAGTAAGTCCCACTGTCACAGAAAATAATGAAGGCATAAACAAGACACTGAACAAAACCAGTCAGCAATTAAAGTTGCATAAGAACACAGTGAAGGCAAACATAATTACAAATAGGACGAAAGCCACCAACGAACCAACACCACTTCAAATAACCTGTCACACAAGGTGCAATTTTACATTCTTAAAAAATGAGAAGACACAATTATCTTCCCTTCTCTGAAACTACAGTGCGCTCTAGCGGCTACTCCAAAAATGGCTCCACTTGCTCCTTCAAGAAGTCTGGCGGAGTCCATAGTCTTCTCTATAGCATCCAGATCACGAGAAAATTAATCTTCCAGATTTTATTCCGAGCAGGGAAGTGTTTCGCCATGCTATACATGTGAATTCCCCATTCCTCCTTCTCTACAAAGCTGATAGGAATAGTCCCTCCAGGAAAACAAGCTGCTTCACTTCCTCTGGGTCAAACGCCACTTTTAGCCGTCAGTGTACCTGCTAGACATGAGTGCCCAGAGCTCCGCAGGATTGTGCCCTAATTCTGTTCAGGCTCACAGAGATTCAACAGCACTGGGTGCTGCTGCTGAAAATAACGCGCATGCAGAGAAGTAAAAACACTGATGATCCATCCAGAAATGTACCACTTGCTCAGAAGCCTCATGCTCCGACAGGAACAGGACACGAGGAAACCACAGAGAAGTGTCCTTTGCTGTTAATTCACTTGTTCTCTACTCATGATTTTGTTTATTCGCACTGGGTACTACTTCTAACTTTACAACATTAATGCCTGTGGTTTGCCTATCACTTTTTCAGTTCAAACTCTTTTTCCCCATCAGTGCAGATCCTCAGATCAATAAATATCTATTCTGACATTTTTTTGCTAAGATAAGTGCTGTGGGAAGGAGAACTGCAGGTCCAATGCAGCTACATAAATCCCAGTGATAATACTGTCAAGCGGATTTAACGAGAATAATGTAAAATAATAGTAACAAAACATTGAACGCAATGCAGAGTTGCACAAGATGCACCCCATCAAACCGGAAGAGCAAAATCTGCAACGATCCTGTCTAAACCAACAGTGCTCATCTCTGCATCACCCTCTGTCTGCGAGGCACTGGCAGACCTTCAGGCGGACCCACTTCACAACCCATCCCTGCACAGAGCTTGGCTGTGAAAAAAGGGAAAAGCAGAACAATTGCCTCCAGTAGCACACCAAAAAGGAGAAAGAAAGAGCAGCTGCTTAGGATCCCACATGAGAAGAGTGAATGGTAGAAATACTGATGACACAAAGAAAGGAAACTACAGGCTGAGCAGTAGCTAGCAAAACAGGGCAAGGAAATGATGCTGAAAGCAAGCCATTTAAATGACATCGTTAAAAAATGAAGGCTTCCTCCATGGGTGGAGAATTCTGGCTACCAGAAAAGTCATTCACCTCCAGGCAGGAGCTGAGATGCGTTCCCAGGTGCCAGAGTATAGACATAGCCCATGTAGACACCGTAGCAGAGCGCTGAGTGTCTGGGGTGGTGGCTTCATCCACCTTCATGGCGCTAAGCTAACATTCAAGCTACAGACCCACTTCCTGGTTAAAAAACATCCAGAGGCTGAGACTCCTTTTGCTTCAAGATAGGCACAGTTTCCAGAGCCTTTTACTTCAATCCTGTAAAGAGGAATGAAAGACACAATTACGTTGACAGCCACAATCAAATAACGCAATAGAGCAAAGGGAACTACGGGGATCACAGTTTCTCTTTGTACAAAGCCTGATTCACCACAGGCAAGGAATTGCAGGAGGATGATAACTTGTACTTTGAAGAGAACACCACAAAGATTGTCTTTTTTTAATGGGTCTTGGCCCCCAGAATACAAAATCTTGGACTCGCAGTACTCCTGCATCTTGTCTAGCGGTCGCTTAATGTGAAATACGCCCTTAGAGCGGAGACTAGAATTCAGATCTACCCTTCTCAAGGGTGCTGTGCTATCAAGCCTGACTCCACCTTCGACTTCCACATCCTGCTACGCAGCTAAAATGTTCCAGCAGAAGTTGTGAAACAAATGCCTTTCTCATTTCCCTCTTCCTCAGAACCGAACACTATGGTTAAGGGGGCGGTGGAAAATAGGAAGCAAACCTCAGTTTCCATACTGTACGTGTCCCTGACTGTGTTTTCAAACAAAGTGTTACAGTGCTCTGTGAATGGGTCAACCAAAGTCACACAGTCTCTGGAAGAGCCAAGGAACAAATCCCCACCAGTATTAACATGGTTCTAAGAGTGACTGAGCAGAGACTTCAAGGTGTTCACCCTTCTAAAGACAGGAGGGGCAGTTTGAGGCACGCACAGAGGCAGAAGTCTAAGAATGTAAAGAACTTCAGTGCTGAAAATGAAAGCATCAGTGGATGTCTGTATCAAAGGCAGGGGATAAGCAAGAGTGGGAAGGACTGCAATTTTTGACTTGAGATGCCTACGTGCTGCTCACATCTCACATTAAATGCATAAGGTCTTTATCAGATGTCTTTATCCTCAAGTCCTGGGGATGAACTGAACACAGTCACACACCACTAGTGATGTCACAGACTCAGAAAGTGGAAAATTTAAATACTCTTAAGTTAATTTCAGACTTGTGAAATCTCAATGTTTATTATTGTCACTGGCAATTCTACCGACTCCTGACGGCAGCTGCCCCAGGACACAAAGCAGCAGGCTCTGAGAAGATGGGACAACCATCAGTGGGCAGAACAAACCGCCCCACACCTGACACCAGTGGGACAGAGCAGAGGGCCATGACCTCTCACGCAACATAAATTCACAGCTTCACCTTTCCTTCCAGCAGCCCTTTTTGCAGGTACATGCCACAAGAAGTATGAAAATACTTCTTAGAAGCCTCCCAAATATCTTTGCTATAAACCTCATGCAGGTTGCATGCAGGTTTGCACTTCTGCAAAATATATTCTTTAATGAGGAATTTGTGTTATTGTAACTACTATTCCTCCCCTCATTGCTCTGGGAACTTGGTGGTCTCTTGGTTTAACTTTCACTTTGCTATACTGTCTGCCACCGTGAGCTCCCATCTCATGTTGCTTCTGAACCTGGCACTACAAATTTATCCCCTAACTTTCATCCGTCAGTTTTAACAACGCTATGTGAAATCTTTGCGGTAACCCGTGCTCTTTCCAGAGCAGTCCCTTCAACTTCGTTACAGATATTTCTTTCAAGTCACTGTCTACATCTGCATTAGTCATCCTCTCTTACACCCCTATAATTTAGTATCACCAGCAAAACCCCTCAACATCAACTTACAGTTCATTGTCTAATGCTTTCCCATTTACCCAAAAGAACTCTTCATTTCTTTTATAGAGTCCAATCCACGGCTCTTGCTTTGTTATCTTCACCATAAAACTCTGTAGGAATAAACCCATATGAGAAAAGAAGTTTTGCATGTTCAGTCCAATTACCAAAATACAAAGCCTTTGATCCAGGGCTAGAAAACAAAACAATGATCTTGCCTTTCTCCCAGAAGAAACAATATTAAAGATTAAATCTACTGAGTACTGCAGCATCTGGATCTTCTGCAATCCACATAACTGGAATAGGACTTAGAAATCGATCAGAACTCAAATGGATTAATTCTGAGACAGGATCCTTGCAGCACTCAGATATTGTAGTGACAGAAATACCAACTATGAGAACACAAGTATACTACTGAATATTAAGAACTCCTATGGAACTGCAAACGCATCATTTTACTGTGTCTCCACAAGAAAGTTTCCAAAGAACGATAAACACCTTCACAGCTAAAGCATTTCTCCATTGCTGATGTGTCATCATTATAGTGACTTTTTATTATCAGCTAGCAAGGGTTAGTGGAAGAAATTAGTAAAGGAAGATCCTTGCCACAGTGTGTGCACCAGGATTGACATCTGCTCCCAGTACGCCCATTTATACTGGCGTCTGTGATAGGGCTGACTGACCGAGAGAGAGGCTGTTTTAAAACACCAAGGTCTGCTATCAAGGTCTGTAACAGATATGGAAGAATATATTCTCCTAGGTCTTTGTGCTAGGCAGAATCCTTCCTAGCATTGCAGTATAATACAGAAAAAGATGCTCCAAGCTGTGGTCAGGATAACTGTCTCCTAACTTCAAAGGTCAACACTAACATATCTGCGAACTTGGTTGTCATTAATCTACCTTGCTTAGAGAGAACAGTTGTCTAATTAAAGATAAATGAGGCACAACAGTGCTTACCCTGATAGTTGCCTTCAGTGTGAGTATTTATGGCAGTGAGCAGCACCTAATTTAACTCAGATAAGCCTTGGGCATTTTCTAAAACATCAACTGCTGAAACTGATGTTTGCTGCTTGCAGGGAGAGGAGGCACGCAGCTTTCTGCAAGCTGTGACTTGTCACGGTCTTTACATCAGCTTTCAAACCATTGAGCTTAAGAGGCTGCAGGGACACACTGATTCATCGTGCAGCTCCCTAGAAGGGAGATCGGTGAAAGCAGGATCCCCCATTTGTTCCCTTACCAGTTCCTGATGATTTTCGATCACCAGGAGGGAAGCATTGTACAAAGAGCAGAGGCTCTGACTGGCGTTCCAGTTGGCTTCATTCTCTGAGAGGTAGTAGCATTTCCTCTGGAAATACAGCCAACCTGATGGACAGAGTTCCAGGGAAGGACAGACAGGAAAATCTTGGTCCGAAGAACGGTTTACTGCAAGAAGACAAAAAACAGTCTACCTATTTCTTCCTGGAATAGGTTTCTGGAGCTTTTTAGCTTGCTTTCTGACTGCATCATCTAAAATCATCTAAGTCTAAGCACGGCACTATTACTTCTGCCCAGCAGAAATAATTATTGCAAACCCTTATGGTTGCTGACATACCCTTAAAGTGACGATCAGGGGCAGGTTGGTAGAAGCAGCTGAGAAGGCGATATGAACGGATCCTCCAAGGACTCTTCTACAACTTCAGTATTTCTGACAACTATAGTTTTCACAAGTGTTGCTTCCTTGCAGCTGGATTAATAGCTTTGCTTATTATAATGTAATTTTTGAAGGACTACAGATTGGTTGCAAAAAACAATCTTCCATTTGTTACGTGTTTTCTTGAATTTGGATTAAGACCAACAAGAAGGTTATAAACTTGAATGCCAGAAGTACTGAGCACTCCCTAATACCACTGCAACTAGTGGAGTAATTTCTCCAGCACTTGACTGCAATTTTAAACACCATGTCATGAGACATCTATTTAACTTTGAGATGAGGTAAGTTCTGAAGAAACCTTTTGAGGTTTTGAGGGACTTCTGATCAGAATATTTATTTTATCTGGTAATTTCTAAGGCTAATCATTTTTTCTTTTCAAATTATTTACACACTTACCAAACTGAATGCACAAAATCAAAATGACAGCAGCAGTAAGGACTGCAGTGACAACTCGCCATAACCAGATATTTGAGAACAGACCTGAAAAAAACAAAACCAAAAGTCAGGAATTTAAAATAAAATCAGCTGAAAGGGGAGTGGAGGCCAGGATCCATGAAGCTGTTCCAAAAAAAATCACTCTCTGTGGAGAGCAGGCTGGGAGCAGAGCTGAAGACTAGGAAGCGTGTGATATTTAGCTTGTCATGGCAAAGCTGCTTAGCTAAGAAGAACCGTGAATTACTCTGAACTTTAATTACATCATCCAGAGCTTAACCTACGGGCGAGGTAGTTCCCGACACTCCGAAGTGACCGAAAAAGAAAGAAACGAGCATGGAACAAATGAGGGTGAAGACAGTAGGTCTGAGGTTGACCTGATGCCTAAACACGGCACAGATAGCAATCTAATCGAGTTGAAGATGTCCCTGCTCACAGCAGGGGGGTTGGACTAGATGACCTCTAACAGTCCCTTCCAACCCATTCTATAGAATGAGACAAGTCATCAGCTCCGGAGCCCCAAAATCCTGAGGAACATGCAGCCTTATCCTACAGTGACACCTTTTCAAAGTCTCCTTTTCTTCCCATCTCCCTCCCAGCAGCCAGCAGTGAGATGGATTTGGTGGTAGGAAGGTCCCACCAACTTGCCACAGCCTTGTCCTCTGCCAAACTTGGCAGGGGGTAGGAAGGGACGGGGTGTCCTTGAAAGGCTGTGAAAGGAGGGTCCCCTCTCACCGGTGGTGGCTCTGCTGCCAGTGCAGGGGTCTGCCCGGGCACCCTCTGACCTCCCTGAATCATAGAATCACTTTGGTTGGAAAAGACCTTTAAGATCATCGAGCCCAACCTTTAACCTAAGCCTGCCATCCCACCACTAAACCATGTCCCTAAGCACCTCATCTGCCCGGCTTTTAAATACCTCCAGG